ACAAAACAGATTTAAAATTTCTCACTTCAATGTTTTATGTCCAGTCATGATTAACTAATTAATGATAATGGTAAATTACAATAGACGTACCAGCCAGGATTGTTTTTCCTGGGGATGCAAGTGGAAATTGAAGACATGTTTCAAAGGGTGTGGAACCTATGGTCGGAGAGGAGGGGTTTGTGGTGTTCCCTTACAGCAGAACTCCAGAGGGCTTCATTCCCCTTGGAAGGATTAGACATTTTAATCACTTATCTAAAAAAATTTCCCACTTGGGTAGTGGTTTTTTGGCTGCTGCTGGCAAAGAGAGCCCTGGATCCACCAATGTGTAAAATTTGTGATTTTTTTTGGAGGCTTTAACTCTGTCTCTTATACACATCTAGATTATTACCTGTAGTAAGGGCAGGCCTAGGCCTATATGCCTATTTAATATGGCATTTAATATTAGTACAGTGTTTATTTTCAATTCACTCAAGCATGTCCGGTGGTGACGTATGTATTTGCATCGTCGTTGCAAAACTAAAACAAGAGCTTTTCATCTGTGTGGCCAACATTGTAATACGTCATAGATAATTAGCATATCGTCCTAGATTACTCGTCGTCGCATATCTAAAACTCCTTAGTAACTAATAGACCTTTCCGGAGAGTGTCAATCAAACTTAACAACTGACTAATCGGAACAACGCTAGAAATACGCGCGCGTCTCACAAACACACGTGTTGTCCCACAAACGCACGTGTTCGCGTATGTTTTAACACTGCCGTCTTGTGGGACCTTAGCAACAAAATCCAAGGGCGGAGCTTATCGGAAAGGTCTATTAACATAATAATGGACCTTTCCGCTAAGCCCCGCCTGTACTTTGTAATAACTCCATATCCTATTTTGTAATGAGCTGTTAAATTAAACTGTTGTACTTGGTAATAAAGTCTGTCATATTATAACACTTCAAAGTGTTTATATATTACAGTTTTTGATGGATTACATGAAAACTTATTATTTTGTGCGAGAACAATATATGATACTGTACTAAGAGGTGAAGGGTTATACATGGTCTGTCGCATTTTGCCATTGCCATCGCTTCAAATATTCCCTTTCTTTTATGTTCTACAGTTTTTGATGGGTTAAATGAAATAGTGTTAATGATTGCTTGATATGTGTGTGTGATAAAGAAAAAAGGTCAAATGGTTCATTTCACCTCCTGTAATTCTTACCTAAATTTAATTCTAAACTTTGTCTTAATCAGTAAAAAAGCTAGAAAAATCAATTTTGGCACCAATGGCGTTCCATATTACCTATTTTCTTGGCATTTCATAGTACAGTATACTTTTTTTTCTTGGGCATTAAAGTTTTTCGATATATACCGACGCTGGTGGCGCTCTCCAAAATTAGCTAATACTAGGAAAATCAATAATTAGAGACTTGTGGCAAGTCTACGGTGGCTATAGAGGTGGTTACAGGGAACCATGACCACACACATTTCTTTACAAGAGAAGACTAACTTTTTTTTTCTAATGCCCTTCACCCCTAAACATGTTATGCACTGAAAAAAAAACGACACAGCAATCGGTTTACTTATCGCAATAAATGTGTATTTATTGACACCCAGTCGAACTGTATAAATAAACAGATATAATAAACATTCTGTGGTAAATCATTTCATTTACTCACAATTTCAAGGATTGATGACGTAAAATTGTCTTAAGTCAACCACAAAATGGTTACTGAAGGCACAAGGTATAATAAACATGTGTGTTCACTTAATAAACATGCACATAATATGTGTATGCCTGATTAACAACATAATTTTATAAAAAAAAAAAGTCATTTAATGGCTGTTCACACTGATAGTACAGATGATTTGATTTGTACCAAATAAAATCAATGTGGCGTTCCATAAACATTATCACTAGGCACTCCATAACAAACTAGTATTGTCGTAATTCTTCATAAAATTCAAACACAGGTGATCGGTAGCTTACATTGTCAAAGTATTAAAATATATATTTTACATTTTTCAAAATGCTGTACAAAGTTTGAAAAGTTTATTTACAGAAACAGCATTGATAAATTTACATGCTATGGAATCAATAAGTGGAATATCATCAAATTCCCTGGAAAAGTCTATTAATCCAACGTTTGCATGGCTGGAAGTAACAAATAGATTTACATACAAGGTTTTCATAGACGTGTATGTAGGACTAATCATAGAAGCTGTAACTAGCTCCAACTAGTTCCGTAACATAATCTACGAAGACTATAGTAGGTCTACCCTACAAAATAAATGGACTGATCCAAATAAAACATAATCATGCCGCATAATTTTAAATCATATTTTTTACATCTGAATAGTACGGTATGATTAAACAACAATAAATTGGTACTAAACATTTTTAAATATAGATATTACTATACAACAGACAATTTAATTGGTTGGAAGTAACATTTTTCAACAATTATTCATAAATTCAATAACAAATTTAGGCAATATTAGAAATTTAACTTAAACAATACATTTAGTACAAAACAGATTTAAAATTTCTCACTTCAATGTTTTATGTCCAGTCATGATTAACTAATTAATGATAATGGTAAATTACAATAGACGTACCAGCCAGGATTGTTTTTCCTGGGGATGCAAGTGGAAATTGAAGACATGTTTCAAAGGGTGTGGAACCTATGGTCGGAGAGGAGGGGTTTGTGGTGTTCCCTTACAGCAGAACTCCAGAGGGCTTCATTCCCCTTGGAAGGATTAGACATTTTAATCACTTATCTAAAAAAATTTCCCACTTGGGTAGTGGTTTTTTGGCTGCTGCTGGCAAAGAGCGCCCTGGATCCACCAATGTGTAAAATTTGTGATTTTTTTTGGAGGCTTTAACTCCAATATTTTGCATCTAGAAATAGGAAAGACTGTATCTCATATATAAACACTGTATTTTTCATTTTATTAACAAAAAAAAATGATTTCTATAAGAGGATGTTTGAAGAAATGTCCAGAGCACAATATATAAATCTTTGTTGTACAAATTAAATATTCAAAATTTAAGTTTATTGAAGACGTCACAGTGGAAAATTTATTTGGAAACATTTGGTATAAAATTAAGTACTTCTTAATGTCAAGCAAAGCTAGCCCACAACACATTAAAACAATGGTCTCTGAGGAGAAAATTAAGTCCCAGAAATATTGTAATTAAAACAATTATCATAAAGACAACATCTAGGATGTAGTTTTCCTTTAAAAATGAAAATTAATTTTACATACAGAAAATAATTATATGAAATTATGTTAAGTTCATATAATTGGTTTCATATTATGCTCATAAAGTATTAAGTTAATGAGCTTTTTGATGTTTTACAGCAAAATCTTTGCAATAAAAAAATTACGAACAATATACATTATCTATCTAATATGTACAATATCATATTTAGAGAAAACATTATACAGTTTATAAAAGTATAAAGACATATAATTTAATCACATCATTTGCTTCCCATAATGCTCAAGGGAGGAAGCATTATTGTAAGAAAACTTGGCTTGAGTGATCCATGCAGCGATTTACACACTTCACACTAACATCAGGCAATGTTGATAAACATTACCTAATGCTGTATCATAACCTAAAATACTACCTACACCTAAATTAATAATAATTAGTAAACAGACTTCATTAATTAAGGTAATCAAGTGAGACTAATTAATACACATACTGTATAGACTAAATAACAATATTACCAATAAAAATACTATATGTTTTTATATAATTTTATCTCACTAGGCTTGAATATGGTTTAACAGGCAGGAATACAATTCAAAAACGTTTTCAATAAATAAGCATAAATTCATAATACAGTATATGCATAAATATACAAGGCAATGTTCAAATCTGGAATTCTTCTTGATTACCACTACCCAGAGGGGGTAATTTGACGGAATAATGTCCACGATTATTCATCCTTTGAGGTGTCACTTGCCCCGAGTTTGTTTGCAATGAACTCAACCCAGTTGATGTCACAAGAGGGGAGATGGATGGTGATCCAGGAGCCAGAGGTGACAGTGACGGTGAAAGGTCTGGGGAAACAGCCAATGACTGAAATATATTTTCGTGTGATATTGGAGAGCGTGGTGAGGAGTCTCTTGTACGAGATGAACTACTAGGCACAACTGGTTTAAATGGTCCTTGCGCAATTGATGTGATTAATGGAGGAGGATGTGTTTTGAGTTTAGGTTGAAATGCTGATTTCTGTTGAGGTGGACGTTGCTCTATCTGTCTCCTTGCAACACTATCATCTTTGAGTTTGGCTATTTCTGCAAAGACATGTGCTAATGGTTGGAATTGTGGCCCCCAATCGAGTAAGTAATCCCAATTGTAGCTGCCAGAGAACTCTTCATCGCTGTTGACAATTGAGCTCAACGAGCCTGCCATGGAGGGCTGGCCGTGATCATCAAACCCAAATGATCTTGTGCCATCCATGACAGCATCGTCCTCTTCCGCACCCACCTCATCAAGCTTAGCATAAATAATATTTCCGATATCAACTCCGCCTCCTGCTTCTCCTCCACCTTCCTCTCCAAATACATGCATACTCTCAACACTTTTACTGCTAAGGAAACCATTTATGACTTTACCATTTTGTAAAATATCATTATCGTCCAAGACAGATCCATTGTCTTCGTGATCGTGTTGAATTCCAGAGTCTATTACTTTATCACGCTGATTTGACGAGTGGTCAGACTTTCTAGAGCCCTCGTTAATCTTGCGGATCTCCTCGTCTTCCACAGTGGTAGAGCCCCGTCCACTAGAGGCGGAGTTCGACTGATCTGAAATATCAGTACGCGTTAAGTGGCCTACTTCCATGGAGCTGTTTGCACCGCGCATTGCGTACAGATTTCCAATACGATGCATGTCTGCTGGGCTGATTGGTATTGCACCATTAGCCATAATACCGTGCGACATATCAACTCTGTCAAAGGTACTTGAGTCGTAAGTCGGTGGGGAGTATCTACCTTGTGCGTAGGTATTGTTTGGTTTCTGTTGCCCATTTCGACGCTTCAACAGTAGATACAGAAGAATAACTAGGATTATCAGAACAATGACAATTAAAGGTAGAGTGATGGCCAGGATGAGATTGAGATTACTACCTGTGCCAATATGCGTAGCAGGTTCTACAACCACTGTTACTGTTGCTCTTGCTTCTAATGAGTCCGGTCGCCCGGTGCTTGCTCTCACAAGAATTGCCTCTTGTACTGGAGCTTCGCGAATTTTTCTTTTCTTTGCGTTTGCAGAGCGCTTTTTACGAGCCTCACTCATATTCTTACTAACAGATATCACACCAGTTGTTTCATTAATGACAAAGTATTCTTCAAAGTTTTCAAAAGAGTAACGAACCACGCCATCTTCACCTTTGTCTTGGTCAGTGGCATGTACAGTACCAACAGAGGTTCCCTTTGCGGCATCACTTGGCACATCAAACTGATACTCCAACACTGAGAATACTGGTTGAAATTCATCAACGCTCTTTATGTCTACCTGAGCTTGAACAGCTTTCTTCTCCCCACCATAGTCTGTTGCAAGGATATGGATTCGATAAACATCAGTGTCTTCATAATCAAACTCAACCAGTGTTGTGACCTCACCTGTGTTCGGATCAATACTGAAGAAATCTTGGCCATCACCACCCTGTATTGAATACGTTAAACTTCCATAAATCCCAGTATCCTTATCCTCAGCCTGAGCTGTGAAGACAGATGTGCCAACTGGCTGGTTCTCCTTCACACTTTCGATATACATAAGAGATGGAAAATATGGTTTGTTATCATTCTCGTCCAAGATTTCAATAATTACGTTAACCTCACTTAATTGCAGGTCATCAGAAGCCTGTACTGATAAAACAACTTGCGGATTTTGAACGTCATGGTCTAGTATACTCTTAACAGATATCACACCACTTCTTATATCAATTTTAAACAAGTCTTTATCGTTACCAGATATGATTTCATAACGTATCTTTGCATCTTCATCTGCATCGGTGGCACGCACTTCAAGAACAGACGTGCCAATATCTGCCGCTTCGCTAACATTACCGCGGTATACGGCAGATTCAAACACTGGACTGTGATCATTAACATCAGTAATCGTAATAACTACTTCGGCAGTTGAATTTCGCTGTGGACTACCGCGATCTGTGGCAAGTACAACCAGGGTATAAACGCTCTTTTGCTCACGATCAAGTAAGCCCAACACAGTTATATCACCACTGTTACCATCGACACGAAACGCATTTTCTTCATTTCCCGAAATAATGCTGTAGAATATGTTGTTGTTGTCGTAGGATGGATCACTGTCTTCGGCATGTACAGCTAGGACGTCTGAACCAATTGGAGCATTTTCCATCACAGATCCCTCGTACAAATTTTGCTCAAAATTTGGCGAATTATTATTAACATCTGTAACCTGTATCCTGACTGCAACGACAGCCGAAAGAGGAGGGTTTCCATGATCAGTTGCTGTTATAACCAGTTGAATAACTGGTTGAGAAGGGTTGTAATCAATTGTTTGGTTGGTATATATGGTTCCTATAAAAGATATAAAACAATGTTCAGTCTCGTACACAATGTTTTGTGCTTTTCAAACTTGCCGATGATCTAAACAAACCTCAAGATTATTTTCCACTACCCAACTCCCTGGTACTTAAAAAAAAAAAGGATACTCAAAATGGGTCATTAATTGGTAAAAAAGACTTAAGCACAATTTTGTTAATGATGGCGCTCTCTTTACTACAAATTTTAGCAGGACATAAATCCCATTTTTCAAAAGTACTAAAGATTCTCACAACCCGTTAATTTGGGTTGCGACCTTTAGTTTGAGAATGACTTACATTATTTACAATGACATCAAAGAATTGCACATGTAATTTTATTATGCACCCTATATACATTTATTAATTGCTTTATTAAGATAATAAAAGTATTAACATTTTGTATGTTTAATTAAGTTAATTAAACTTCAAAATGATTCCTCAGTATGGATTTATTATCAATAATATTATTTTTGGTAAACTTTCATGTCTTAATCTTTATATCCCCTTATAGTCTATATTCAGGTTAATAATAATAATAATAACAATAATAATAATAATAATAATAACAATAATAATAATAATTATAATAATAATAATAATTAATAAAAATAATAATAATAATAATAATAATAATAATAATAATAATAATAATAATAATAATAATAATGTTATATTTATATAGCGCACATTGCCCCTTACACAGAAATAATATAGGCCAACCGAGAAAATACAAATAATAATAACAATAATAATAATAAGAAAAAGAGTGTAAGTTACCTTTCAGAGTTGTAGTTTAGTTTTTGTTTTTATTTTTTCTTATTATCATGACAGAGTTAGAGAATAACTTCCATGCGATTAATAATAATAATTATAACAATAATAATAATCATAATAATAATAATTCCTGTTGCCATAGCTCATGTAGTCAAGCTTTAGCTCTCTTGTCTTTAATTACATTGCTGCTCTCCTTGCATTTGACTAGAAAGGAGAAGTGTGCTGCAATGCAAGTTACAATGCACAATCTCAGTGTCTAGTAAGTACACCAATCGAAAAGAAGAGTAGGGGACTGGCTTCCAGTATATAGCCCTTACAACTACAGCACATAATACACATTTTGGTGGCCTGTCGTCTATAAAGTATGACTTACCTGTTATTGGGTCGACATAGAAGCCTAGAATGGGTGCTACTCCCATGCTGTATACAATTTGAGAATTCGTACCCTCATCCATATCTGTGGCATTTACTGTCTCGATTGCATAACCTGGCGGGGTCAACTCAGGTATGGTAACCTTGAATAAATTATTTTAAAAAAATATCTTAATATTTTGTTTAGTACATCAAATACAGCGTTTCGGAATAAGCAATCATTGTATTATAACAGCAGGGTATTTCATGATATTGTGTTTGGAAACTATTAAAAACTGAGGTAGAGCAATAATATTACTACATAACAAGGTACCTTTCCAATAGATCCTCAGTAATCAAACTTATTGGCAGATGAATAAGCGTAGACAGAAGCGGCAAGTGGGAGAGGGGCAGAAAAGAAGTAAATTATTTCCATTAAGTGGGTTAAAATACTACAAAACCATTAAGTTTTCATTGCAATAGGGATTTGATTCCGCATTCTGGGATTTAGTTCCACATTCTTATTTTTTGCACCTCCTACCCCGAGGCCGAAACCAGCCTACACCCCTGCAGATAACCCAAATACATGTCCATGCAATTTACTGTAACCCACTTCGCAAGATTTTACAAAACAGATACTCAAAATAGGTTATTCTGTCCAAATTATCAAATATTCTTTGACAAAAAACCGTTGAATGCCCATATATAGTCATGATGTGCCTTTGTGAGGTCATGTGATGTCATCATGACCATATTTAGGCATGTCACATGTTTTTGTCAAATAAAATTTGATAGTCTGCCTAGGGCTTTAGTTTCATCACCCAAATTTAGGTCGCGACCCATATTTGAGAGCCACTGCAATAGACCAAAGCGCCAATAGAACTTACCTCATACGATTGCTCACTAAAAACAGGTGCATTGTCATTCTCGTCCAACACGTTTACGACCATATCTCTCTCAGCCGTCTCAACTCCGTCAAACACACTTATCTTAAGTCGGTATTGTTCTCGTTCTTCACGATTTAACGGAGCATTCAACGTGACTGTACCACTAAAACGATCGATTTGAAATTCAGAGTTGATGTTCCCATCTACAATGTCATAGGTCAGAGTTGGATCCTTGTCTGCATCATTAGCTTGGACGTGGTAGACAACTGTACCAACTTTTGCACCTGTACCGGAGAAAAAAGTGTTTGACCATATTATATACCACTGATATTATCATTGTCAATCCATTACATTATTACTATTAAAGATGTACTATCACCAGTCAAAAATATAGAAAAATTTAGAGACAATAACGATATCGTACAGTAGATACAACTTCAAAAAAACATTATTAATTGTTGATAATTACTTAATAACACTAAATATTTAGGCAACAATGTATTATATTAAACTAGATACATTGGAAGTTTTTATTTAATTATTGTTCTGGTATTTGAATCATATTACTGTAAATCTTAAGACGAATTTGGTATCGGGAAGACACTATCATAAAACTTCTCATAATTAAATCAACAAAACAAATATTATGATATATATAAACTATATATCAGTACCTTCATTGATTGACACTGGTTGGATGATAGGCAGGTAAGGGGCATTGTCATTCTTATCATTGATGCTAATCTTGATTGTGGCACTTCCGGTATTTGGTGGAGTGCCTCCATCGACTGCCTCCAATGTAAGCTTGTACTGTTCTTCAACCTCGCGATCTAATTGAACATTTGTTGTAATAATGCCGGTCAGGGGGTCGATTCGAAAGTGGTCGCTTTGTCCTGTGTTGGCGAACCGGTAAGTAATCTGAGCGTTACTTCCAGTATCATCGTCAGTTGCCGATACCTAAGGTCAAAAGTCAAGACAAATTTATATATGTATAAGTCTAGTTTTCTTGCTTAAATTTTGTATTTTATTTATTTATTTAAATCCAGGATACATTTTCAGGCTGATGTTAAAACTTTTTTTTTCAAATGGCCCTGCACAATAAAATACCATTAAACAATGCTACTCTCACATTCAGTATAATTAAATTTATACAGAAAATATTAGACTTTTAAGTAACAAATAAGTCACATACTTAATAATATACATTATTTTACAATAAAAATGTATAACAATCAACATTTAATTTTAATTTAAACAACAATGTTACATTACAGTAAAATAGTTAAATGATTTTAAAAATCAAATTTAAAAATATATATATTATTGAGTTTGGTCTTAAAACTGTTTATATTTGTAGATTCTTGATTATGAAGTATTTGGTTCAAAACTCTTGCCTCAGCAAATCATAAGGAATGCTCCATGGCACTACAATTAGGGATTGGTGCAACAATATTCAAAGTGTTTGAGTATTGAGTAGAATATCCACATCAATTGAAAATCCTTTCTATGTCACTATATATATATATAGAGGGGGCCATTTTAATCACATTTCCCTGTAAACTTACCTTTATGTAAAGACAAGAGCATACTGAAGATAACTAGATTGGAAATAAAATTTATAATAATATAATAACACTTCCAATGTCCACATCATTCAACACTTACCTTCACCACATAATAGTTTTCATTACTGCCTTCGAAAACCGTTGTAGCGTATCGCTCCTGTCCAAACTTTGGACTGTTGTCGTTTGAGTCTTGTAGGTGAATATTAACTTTGGCATAACCTTGCGCTGGTACTGTTCCCCCGGACTCTGACTTAGCTTGCACAAGCAGTTGGACATTAGCTGTTGTCTCATAGTCCAAGACATTTTCTTGTGCAACAGTTATGGCACCTGTAGGCAAAATATATCAAGACATTTTTTTAAGTGACAATTCCACACAGATATGTAGTAAAGTAGGATGGGTTAAACATAAATGTACCACCTTATGAAATTGTTTTGAGATGAACGGTTTGGTGGTTCTGCAAAAAATGGAGTGATCCCATTATTAACTTCTTAGACTTCGAAGACAGTAAAGACAAGCATGGCCACAAGTGATATAGTTCTATTTTTTCAAATACTTTCTAAACACTGATCAGTTATATGAAGTTGGTATACACTCCAGAAATTGTCATTCTTGGATTGGACATTATTGGTGTGACACACATCAAGGACAACCCACAAAATTTCGAAGACTTATTTCCAGTGGGGTCCTTCTGGTAGTGAATTTGGCAGTACAATGGGAGATAATCCCCAATGCTTTTCCAAAGATTATATACCTGCATTCTTTAAAATGCACATGAGCATTTTGTACACAGGACCAATGGCTTAATTGTCTCATCCGAAAAATGACGGCACGGTTTTAAAACTTAAATTTCAGCCCATCAGCCAAAACACAAGGAAAGCAGACATGGGAAATGAACTGAGGACCAAGAGATTTCTACAACACAGTGGCTACCAACAGTTAGCTGAGCATTCAACATTATTACACACAGTATTATGTAATATATAGCTATATTAAAAAAGAAACCAAAATAAAAATAACTGTATAATAAAAGGGTATCCTCACCCCACCCTCACCCCCTCCCCCTTCCGCTATGCTAACCTCATACGCAAGCCTTTAAATTTGATCTTGCTCAAAAAATAAAGGTGAAATTTTTATGGATGACAACACCATGGAAACTGCTTACCTGAATTCTCATTAATGAAAAAGGCACCATCGTCATTGCCTCGTATGATGGAGTACATGATCGGTGAGTTGTTGTTTTTGTCCGAATGCTCGGCACGAACTGTTTGCACTGGCGTGTTGTACCGTGCATCCTCTGGAATACTTGCTTCATATTCAAGAGCATCAAAGTTCAAAGACGAGATGGCTGCATTTCCAACCCTCACCTCCACAACCACTGTACAGGTTAAAAACATAATCATATTAAACATATCCAGCAAAACTAATCATATGTTATCATCAATGCTCTGCAACAATCTTAATGAGAATTTGGGAATTGAGATCATCTGTTATGTTAATGGTCTAAAGGCCGAGATGGTAAATCCAAGATGATCGCTGGGAAACAGTTACTAATTTCTCACTTTTACCAAGTAAGACACATTGAAAGCAAATAAAAGAAGCACTAGACATGATTCATACCATATGTATCCCCAAACACTAACAACAGAGAGAGGAATTTTACTGATGTGAGATTTTCGTACATTTCGTAAAATAAAGGAAATTAAAAACAAAAAAACAAATTGGTAAGCAGAGAAAATGGATGCACAAGGAGACGGCAAACTGTAATTTTTTTATTTGGCCTATTAAACAGATACGGTACACTTCAGGGGAGTGGCAAGCTGGGATCATTTGTAACTATCATATCTCACTAACCAAGTATTTTATAAAAAATATTTGACACTTGGTATGTTATCAATTACATTGGTGCAATGAAGACCATGTTATATAAAGTTCATTTATTTTCTTGTGTTTGTACTACTTACCACTGTTTGTGAGGGGAGGTGTTCCCTGATCAGTAGCAATTACTTCAAAGCGATAAAGAGGAATGGATGGTGACAGTTGGCTGTTAACCGTGATCACCCCTGAGTCTTCATCAATTGTAAAATACTGAATATTATCCTCATCAATGCTGTTGTGGAAAGAAGAAAGAAAAATCCTTATCATGCATTTTAATGCAATATTTTTATCAAAATATTATAAATCACGTGATGATTGTGAGCATACAGTTACAGTAAAGATTGTGATGATAAAAACAAAACTGATAATGATTACATATTTGGTGACAATGTTAATAATTTGTCCCTTTATAACCTGGTAGAGCAACCAAATGGTAATTGATTGATAGGTCTTACTTTTTAATTCCGATTTTTCTCGAAACCACCACTTAACGATGTTAACATTGAACATTATAAAGTTAAGGAGACAATGATCAAGAGGTTTGGCAATGGACAATGATAACAATTTTATGAATTAATTTAAGATTAATGATGAAGAAAAAACATGCCTAATTCTTACCTAAATTTTATTCTACTATTATCATTAGAATCTTTATCCTCAGCCTTCACCGTGGTAACATAAGTATTCTGCATGGCATCCTGGGTAATATTAGCTAGGATTGGTTCAGTCTCAAATATTGGTGCATTGTCATTGACGTCTGTGATGTCGACCGTCACCTGAACTTTTTCAGTTCTTGGTCCATACGGACCACCATCTGTGGCTTTAACCTCAAATATGAAACTATGACGAACCTCAAAATCAAATGTTCTATGAAAACAAGAAATAAACATCATTTATAAAAAAGAAATCATTTATGAAATAAAATCTAACAATTCTTATCCCGTTTACAATGGATATGAATACTATATATTTTTGATATTCTTCAAGCTACAACAACCAATTTAAATCTGCTACACTTCATTTTATTTGCGTATGTTTTTCTAATAAAAAAATAAAGGAAACATTTTCTTTCTCTGCAGTTAGGTTAGATGCTAACTATTGAAAAAATTTGGGTAAATAGTATTTTCCAAATTGAAAATTATAATATGATACCAAGTTTCAAACTATAAAATTGTTTCCAAATAATTCAGCAATGGTTATAGTATCAAAATACTAGAAGCACATTTGATATTTATTTTGGCCAGATTCAGATATACTAGTCTGCATTTCTATATGATAATCTACCATCTTGTATTATCTTGTGTAATATTTTACTTCACGCATTTTAACTTACCCGGATGTGCGAATAATCCCAGTATCTGGGTCAATAGTGAACAGACCCTGTGTACTGTTATCCAACGAATACTGAATGGCGGCATTAACCCCCAAATCCTCATCCACAGCATGTACCGTAAGAACAGTTGTGTTCTGAGGCGTGTTCTCAGGAAGAGAAGCCGAATATGACTGGGATGTAAACACTGGATCATTGTCATTCTGATCTCCAACATCTACAGAGATTACCATCGTGGCGGTCATCGAAGGATCAGCGCCATCACTGGCTTGTATGACGAGGGAGAAATGCTCAGTGGTTTCACGGTCCAACGCACCAGTAGTGGCAAGTTGCCCAGTAACCGGATCTATGCTGAAACTGTTATCAACATTCCCTCCTAAATGAATAAAAAAGAATAGTGATTAACTTGAACTATGACCCCACTTTATTTTCATGAAACTTTATAAAATTTGAATAAAAGAAAATCATGAAAGAATGGATCTGAAATTTTAATTAATTCAATTTAATTCCACTCACCAATGATAGAATACTCAAGAGCACCATTCACGCCAAAGTCGTTATCAGTTGCGGCAACAGTATGTACCACGGTACCTGGCTGATTCTCAGGAATATCGAGCTGGTATGTGTCAACACCAAACATCGGTGGATGATCATTTTCATCCACAACGTTGACAAGCACAGACGCCAGGTCATACCGCGCTGGAAAAGCATTGTCTCGAACGTACACTATAACAAATAATGAAAATGTTATATAATCCATGGACGACACTTCAAACCTACAAAGCAGTTAGTGATTGTGGCACTACACTGGGTAGGGAGACAATCTACTCTTTCATAAGAGGGTACTGCATATGAGTCTGAAAGACGATGTGCTTTTTCACACTTACATGTCAGCCCAGTAGGAGAGCAGCTGATAGAATTGAACTGGGTACCTGAAGAATTTCCATGCCTTAGCGCACACAAAGTGGCTACCATCAGTTTAGCCCACTGAACTAATGCTTTCTAAAACAGAGCACTCATTGTGTTGTACGACGATCATACATCCATCGAATCCAACTCCACTTCCTGTGAGTGCTAGACGATGCTGGGAGTCTGAACGCATCGTCATTAAAAACGATACACTGTGTACGTTGTGGCACTGTATCCTCCATAGAATCGCATCAACAAATGACCATCAGGCACTATCAATGCCCAGCTCAAATTTATTATATCTCCCACAGCCAATTATAGTAATGGGAAGTCTAGGATGTTTCAACAGGTAGGACTTTAGCAGGTGTGTTAAAATTAATTAATAATAAAGTCACCATCGCAAACTGCTACTTAAATTTACATAAGCAATGTCTTTGTTTTTACTTACCAGTAACAATATAAGTTTCCTTTGTCTCTCTGTCTAATTGAGAAGTGGTCTTTAATTCTCCTGTGTCTGCAACTACCGTAAACATGTCATCAGCAATTCCACTTGGGATGTTGTAGGTCAATCTTCCATTTTCACCTGTCACAAAAAAAAAAATTGAGATGGAAATCTTGGGCCTTATGTTCCATGAGGCACAAAGAGGATAGGAAAGGCAAGGACTTTATGAACTAACAACGAAAAATGAATTTCAGTATTGGAAGCAAGCACAGGTGGTGAATCCAGGTGGTGGCAAAAGGGTGGTTCCCCTTTCCCATCTGCAACCAAAAATCGCTAACAAAGTGTGAAATTAATTAAAGAGATTAAAATGGCTAAAACTTCCAAAGGGTATTTCTGCAATATGCAAAAGGTGTTAAGGGAGCAATTCAGGACCGTCATACATCACTGATCTACCACTATGTGAATGTGTAAGATCATGAAATGGATAATTGTAGTTAAGCACTAAGTGTAGGTAATGGTAGACATATATTTGTGGTACAGTAATACAACTTTGAGCCTTCAATTGAAAGGTTGTGTGTAAAAAACTGATGCTGGACAAACAGCCTAGCTTCCTTAGGGAAGACACTTTGTACACTCACTCATCACCCAGAAATACAAATGGTTAGCAGGCAGAAGGTAAATGATTTGTAATAAACTTAGTTAGTGCTGAATTACATGCCTGAATTGGAAAGATCTCCAAGGAGGGGTAGGGTGGATTCTGTATCCAAAGACCAAGGAAAAAGTGCTTTTGTGACCAAAGTAAAAAGCTGTTATATGAATTACAATACAATAGACAGGCTTTCAAACAAGCAGTGGGTCAATACTGATGATGATAATGAATTGTTATTTAAAAATTTTACCTGTGTCACCATCTGTAGCATACACCTGACCAATCACGGTGCCTGGTAGCATGTTCTCCGACACATTCATGATGTAGGAGGTCGGTTCAAAATGCGGGGGCATGTCATTCACATCTTCCACAAACACGGTCAGGTTTTGCGTGCTGCTAAGTTGGGGTAATCCATTGTCTGTAGCAGTGATGTTCAAACTATAGGCATGCCTGTGCTCACGATCAAGGGATTCAGCCACTGATAAAACACCTGCAATATGTAAATAATTTGTTTATATCGACTTTATGCAAATATTTATTTATTTTTTATTTATTTTGGTATAAAAAAAATATTAAGTGGCACCAAAGGCTGAAATTTAAACATAATTTTTGGTTAAGATTACTTTTTCTACTCAAATAAAAGGTTAAAAAAAAGTTTAAAGGCAGATAAGACTTCAGAGAACAAACCAAACATACAAGATACAACATAGAATAGTGAGCATGATAACCATGTAATTATGTAACACCACGCACCTGTGATAGCATCCAGTAGAAACTTGCCATCTTCATTGCCGGAGGTAATCTGGTAAACTACGCGTGCATTCTCACCAAGATCGTTATCAATGGCCACCACATGAATCACAGGATACCCTATAGGTTCATCTTCCATTGCAAAAGTTTGTGGTCTAGACGTGAACACAGGTCGGTTGTCATTCTTATCTTCTATGACAATCTGAACAGTCACCGAGGTCATCAAACGATCTGCAGGATCCACAGCTTGATCCTCTGCGACAACGACCAGAGTAATCCGGGATTGTAGGTAGGACTCTCGATCAATGGTAGAAATTGTTATCAGCTCTCCAGATTCAGCACCAATTCTAAATTGACTCTGTGTTGTTGCAATTCTATAGCGTATCACTCCATTTTCAGCGGAATCCGCATCGGTGGCTGAAAATGTCCAAACTGTCCGGTCAGCAGGGATGTTCTCTTCCACCCCAAAACCAATTGGATTTGAAGCAAAAACAGGAGCATTGTCGTTTTCATCTACGACGTTGATATTTGCATAAGCTGTTGTGCTTTGTGGCTGGATTTGATTATCATGGACCTCGATTGTAAGATGATGATGCGCCTTGAACTCAAAATCCAACTCTTTCACATTAAAGATACTGCCGCTGGTGCGATTGATTGAAAAAATGCCGAAATCGTTTCCCGCAACAATGTAGTAAGTAACTTTGCTAGTCCCTCCCTCATCGACATCAGTGGCCTTAATCCGCCCAAGCTCGGTACCTGGTCGTACATTCTCCATCACAGTCAATGTGATCGTCTCATTTTCAACAAGGGGTGGATTATCATTGACATCCTTAACTTGTACCTGCACCATAATGGTAGATTCCATTGGAGGTGTACCACCATCTTGAGCTAGTATTGATATCATGTATTGGGAGACTTCTTCCCTGTCAAGAACTTGGGTTGTAGTAACCTCACCAGTCGTAGGGTTGATGTGGAACATTCTGCTTCCTGAGAACAAAATGGAACAATTATGTATGAGAAATACTATTACTTGAACATTTTTTCCTTGAAATCAGCCATCACAGCTGCATAAAAAATAAAAATTTGAACAAAGAGTGGGTAAGCTTCTGGATTCATAGACCAAACCTGCTTAGTTTATGTAGCAAGATTAGTTTTTAAGGGCTAAGTTATTACTGTTACACTATTTTAATATTGTTATTATTAAAACATTTTTCATTATATTGTTATCGCTAATATTATCATGTGAAAAAAACCGAAAGGTCCACTGATAAATCGCAGATAAGATAGTATAATACATACTCCAAGTATCGAAATGATACTAGTATGATGATGACATAATTAATGTCGAAATATTGAATCCTGACACAATGGCGTGCATTTCGATACTTGGAGTATGTATTATACTATCTTATTATCATGCGAGTTTGTAAGCTTCTTGCTAATTAAAAACTAGGAAACAATTTTGTTTGTTAACTTTAAAATAACTATAATTTCTTTAAATTGTTGGCACCAATCTTTGTCAACAGAATAAGATATTTGAACATTCCAAGGCTCAACGGCACACATTTTTCCCTTAGACTAATCTTAATCTTTGCACTGGCGTATTCTGTCAGACAATTATAATACATTTTCTATGATTGAAAACTGTGCATCGCCCCTCTAGGCTTTAAGTGCAAACACAATTCACCAATTGCCAAGTACAATTCCTTTAATTATTTCATAATATATGGTTGAATTCGACATGCTTTACATAATTGTTCTCGCTAACAAATGCATTCTTTTAACAATTAAAATTCAAATTAACTTCAATTATATAAAGATTACAGCCATGTCTGTCTCGTCTTAATTATCAGACATTGTAAACCATTTTACCAGTAATGATTTTTTTAAGATGATTAAGTCCATTTTCTAATACATCTTTTCTTTTTGTTTTCAAAAACTATTAAATGAATCAGTTCTTAATTCACAACTAAGGCAATCATTAATTCAGTCCCATCCTTGAATTAAAACCTTTTAAGTTAATACTCTAAACAATCATTACTAATGGCTTAAAATTCTTCATTTTCTTTATAATAATCATCATCTACCGGTCCTATTAATAATACAAGCCTTACAAGGTTTTTATATGGGCTGCTAGCCTGGGGGTTGGTCTTGAGTTGACCATGGAAAATAGATGAGCAGTCACTTGATCATGACAGCTTTGATGACCCATCAAAAGAAAGAAGACAATCAGCGACCTTCCATAAGTATTAATGCTAGGTGACTATAATAGGTAATTTGTAGCACCAAAACAAGTGAGTAACAATAACACTAAACATTTTTAAAAAGCTATAATGGTTGACGAATCACCCACAGCCTTGGTCAATCCAATTGGGTATTCATACACAAAACTGGGGGAATGCAATTTGCGTGGAAATGTCCCTTGATGGATATTAAGCTAAATAAATTCTGGCACTGGTATGTTTTCAAGTTTAATAGTTTTAAGCACTTTGCATATTTAAGGGTTAACTTCTTTTGTCTTTTAAAAGGAAACAGAAAGAAGTAGCAAAAAAGTTATTCTGAACTTTTAAAGCTCTGTAATTATGTTGTCAAGGTCTAACCATAATTTACAACCTCGTTAAAATGTGAATTCCTAAATTTGCAAGAACTTTTCACATGAATGTACTAAATGATTGACTGTAACTCTCCAAAGACATTGTCTGATTATCATAAATTTTAGAGGACTAGATCTTTCCCATATACAGGTCTCCCTCCAATTAAAGGTCATTTTTGGTACAGGGGTGGGGGGGGGGGGGGGGGGGGTTTTCAAGGGGTTTATGAGCTTTCAAGGCGTTTATGAGCTTTGGTCTTCAATTACAATAATTGATTTCTTCTTTTTTTTTTGTTATAAAATAAGATAGATATTCATGAATGTCTGTGCTTAGAGTAGCTGAAACACCCCTTTTATGTGAGAGTAGTATCTATAACTTCTTAATTTATCATTATTATTATCATTATTATTATTATTATTATTATTATTATTATTAGTTCACCAGCACCGTTATTTTTTCTTGTATCTATTTGTATGACTAAAAATAGATGCCATACATGTATATTATGATTTCATATAATCACAGTAATGTAATTACTCACTAGGTCAATTGTTTAATATATGATTTTCAAAAAAAAGATCTAGAATTTTAAAAAGAAAATACACAATTTACTATTTACATTAACAATATAATTATTATAAATGGTTGCATACTTTTTCTTTAGTACAATAGCAACCTTTGTGAATCTAGATATGAACTCTATCAAAATTATTTAAAAAAGGGACAAAAACATAAGAATCTGTAAACATGTTTCACTTTTTAAGTAAGTGAACTGTTAATTACAGGTAATGAGATAATTAACAACCATAGTCAACAGAAAATTCCCCAAAGTAATTGAAAATCTGAATTTAGGAAGAGAAAATAATGTCATTGAAATGACACACTTCACACTGCGGAACATTGAAGGTGGCAAAGTAAGGGAATGAAATGCAGCAAACGTGATACTAACCCGTACCCGAGATCAGACTGTACCTCACGCTACCATTCGTACCCTTATCTGGATCGGAGGCTACGACACGCAAGACGGGGGTTCCCACAGGCTGTTCTTCTAATACTTCAGCCGTGTACGCCATTGAATTCAAAAATGTTGGTGGGTTGTCGTTTAAGTCGTTGACCACTACATGCACGACAGCTTGTGAGGAGAGAGGAGGCTGACCTCTGTCTGCGACGACAACTATAAAATCGTAAGCTGAAAGTACTTCACGATCAAGTGATTTGGTTGTGGTGATTTCTCCTGTAAGAAAGACAAAACAAACAACATTTTCAATTAAACACTCTCTGTGGAATAGGTGTTTGCAGATTTTTATTGGAAGAACAAAGATTTAATATCAAATAGACATTATGCCATTCAGCAGTCATGGCAAAGGCCCAAGTAAACACTATCTTAACACATTAATAATACAGCCTGTAGCTCATTTACACACAACCCCCATTAAGCCGTGTTACAAGTTTCTGAACATATGAGGTGTTACACCAGACTTAAAATCTATTAAAACCATGGTAGAGATGAAGTAAATGTGGACACGAAGTGCCCTTTTCTGAAAAATTAAAACCCTCTCCCACCCCCACACCACTCCCTCTTAAAAAATTCTGTCTACAAGCTTCATTATTGTAGAAAAAAAGAGTTATTTACCAGTATTTGCATTAATCTGGAACTTTGATGTTTCCCGTAAGCTGAAAATCAAGTGCGAGTTATCGTCTGTATCACGATCTTCTGCACCAATCGTACCAATCACTGTATCCATGGCCATGTTTTCTGTGACATAAAAGTAGAAGCTTTCGCTTTCAATCAGAGGTGCGTTATCGTTAATGTCTGTGATATGGACGTATACAGTTGCAGTTGCATTCTGGGGCAAAACCCCATTGTCGGAGGCAATGACCTGAAGAACATATTCAGCTTTGAGCTCTCGATCTAGAGGGCTCTTGGTGTACAAGAACCCTGTATCAGGAAAAATGCTAAAGTATGCAGCGTCATCGCTCGCACGGATGGAGTATGTGATCCTGGCATTGCTACCGCGGTCATTATCGGTGGCAGAGACTTGTAAGAAGCGCTGGCTTACTGCTAGATCTTCTGGGATGTCAACGTTGTATGGAGAAATTTCAAACCGAGGTCCATTATCATTCATGTCTAGTATGCGGATTTCGAGGGTCAACACTGAGCTAAGGGATGGCGTGCCCAAGTCATATGCCTCTATCTTACACACATACAAATCACGCACATTATAGTCCAAAGCTTTGGCTAGCTTAACTTCACCCGTTGCCTGGACTATATAAAAAGTTTCTTCAGGATTTTCATTGAAGCGATAACGCACTTCACCGTTTAAACCTTTCTCGATATCACTAGCGGAGGCATAGAAGACAAAGGAATCAACAGGGGTGGATTCCGACAGGGGAATTTGCACTTCATTGCTTGTGAATCTTGGTGTGTAGTCGTTAACATCTAGCACTGTAATGAGAACAAAGCTGTCATCATAAGAGGGCGGGCTTCCACTTGAAGCCTTAACTTGAAGCGTGACTTGCTCATCACTCTCAAAATCCAATAATGTGTTCACAGTAATTTCCCCCGTCGTTGGATTCATACTGAAGTACGAGTTTGGATCACCGGATGAGATGGAGTATGTAATCACATCTTGATTAGCTGTGAAGATAACCACAAAGAATAATTTAAGTATCAGAATACATCCCGTATGGTTTTTAGTTTTTCAGACGCCAGTTTTAGGTGATAAAGAGGCATTAGTCGTCACTTTAATTGGAAACATTATATGGTATTGATTTCATACTTAATAAGCAATGCTAATTAAGATTGGATAACACCTAATCAGAATTGAAACCAACAGCAACTATTAAGAAGCCCTAGTTTTGGAATTAAAACTTTTAAGATTAATTTTCTTAAAATATATAACTATAATGTTCTATACATTTAAAACTTTTCATGCTATTTACCTAATTAATTTATGCTTCAATTTTTAGTAACCATAGTGATATATAAATGCACCAAATTCAACAATTAATGATGGTTTCAAATCAAGGTATTTTAAAATAGATTTCAACAATATACAATACAATTATTTTTCAAAGCAATAATTGAAGTGATATATTAAATTATACCAAATTCTGGTAAAAAATGTTTCTATGGTATTGAAGTAGCATGTCTTATACTTGGAAATCAATGATTTTTCTTTAAAAGCTAAAAAATAAAAAATGCACTACCATAGCAACTATGCTTATGGCAATAACCTTTAACCTAGCAGCTGTTTTTCAGGACACTTGGCATAATAATTCAACTACAGTAGACTTTGGTTCAGCAATCACTTTCTAATCAAAACCAAACAGGTCAAAATTAGGTTGGAATTGAGATGCAATAAAAAAAAAACAACCCCAACCATTGTTCCTATACATTGCAATTATATATTTAACATATAAAATAAAATAATTAAAATCTAAAAATAAAATATTTATAAAGGAAAATGCCCTATAAACTACAAAACATAACAGTTTATAGGATACTTCATATAATATTAATATTTATATTTAAAAAAAGCTCAAATGTTATTTTGTAGAATAAGGCACAAAAAAAATATACTTATGTAGCATCACATCCTCAGAAAATTTCAGAGGTGGCAGAACAGTTTTTTTTTTTTTTTGCCAGCCTAGGCTATAGCTAGGGGCCTACTGTAGGCTTAGGCCTATAGATTTCAAAAACTGCATTGGTGACAAGTCAAATCTTTGACAGAAAAAGGCCATTAACAGAAACTAAATTTTACGTACGTTGTCAAGCCAAGGAAATTGGTCGTTCGTCAAACAGATTTGTTTGTACGATATTTATTTTAATATATTAATTTTTTTTTCTGCAGGTAGGTTTATCGTATTGCAAGGTCTTAGCCAATCACTATGTAACCTACATGCAAAAAAAAAAAGACACGCTTGTGATGTTGGTGGCGCACTTAACAGCTTGTTTCCGGTGCTCAAGATGAAGAAAAACGATCGTTTTTTGTCGATAATCAGCATTTTTCAGTCGATTTTCATAACTTTTTTTCAAAAAAAAAAAAGGGAGAGACGCTTGAAAATCATTGTCGGGCAGTGACGCTAAACAAGCTTTTTTTTTTTTTAACTCAATTTTTGTTAATTCATGATCTACGTTTACAATATCAGGTTAATGCATGTATGTGGGTCCTTTGAGGATTGAGGTTGCTAACCTGCAGTGAATTATAGAACATTTAAACAGCAATTCCCCATAAACCTATTTTCATTTCATAACTTGACAAATAAAATATCTAACTATTATGAAAGAACGTTGATGTGATTTGGAAAATCTTATATAGTGCACTAAAGCTATTATCACGGTTCAATTATTCTAGGTTAGACTGGTTCCTGACAGACTCAGTTGATACAGTATATAATGATTCAAGAATACCATACTTAATTTATATGGCAGTAAAAAAAAAGGTACTCTTCCATTGTTTCCAACCTGGTCATCCTTTTGTTAAAACTGACAAATATTTTTAGTATGAATCTATCAAGTTTGCACGGGTACTTTAAACTTTAAAGTAATTTAAATTCCGTATTAAAGTCTAAAATGTTCCAATTGGCCACCGAGCTATCTGCTCATATTATATGCATTAGATTTTTAATGTAAGAAGTTAACGTTAGCAATTATGAGCTACATCAAAAGTATCTACTTAAGTACATTCATGAACCTTTTTGAGAAAATTTCCAAACTCACTGACAGTTTGGCAACCTTATTAACAACTACTATCAAGATCCAATCACAAATGTAATAAGACGCAATAAGTCCTGTCCAAGCTAATTTCATTTGACAAAAACATCTGTCATGCCAAAATATGATCATGATGACATCACACCATGACCATTTATAGGCACACCATGACTATATATGGCCATACAGTATTCATTTTTTCAAATTTGATAGTCTAAAAAAGGGCTCATCTTAAATGAGCACAGGCCTACATACCTGGGTCTTGATTCGTAGCATGTACTGTCCCAACGACGTCATATCTATCTGCCGATTCCAAGATGCTAAATTCGTAGTGTGCCATATCAAAGACGGGAATAGAATCGTCTGCCCCTAACACACTTACACTGATTTCGGCATTTTTTAGCGATGTTAAGCCGCCACTATCTGTGGCTTGCACTTGAAGACGGTGAAGAGGTCTCTGTTGACGATTGAGGCTTCCATTCAACCTCAAAATCCCTGAGGAAATAACCATTTGATGTTAAAATTAAATATTTAAATAATTACATTATATGGCTATCATCCAATATATTTTTATTGGCTTTTCTTACGTTTGCAAAAAAAAGCCATAGTATTTGATTTTTTCTTTTTCTATCCCGTTTTCTTATGTTTTTGCCCAGGCTTTTTTTGTCCGGCACTTTGGTCAATTTCCATGTTCAGATCTTCTTCAAACTTTGTCCAATCAAAAATATGAATCTAAAAATGCACTGACCTCCTCAGGGTTAGGTTCTTTAGCATAATGGTAAGAACCATCAAAATTACCTTTGCTATTACCACTGCAGCCAAAGTTTAAGTCTCATTGGTGTGAAGTTGGTTTTCATGTTCACTTTTTAGTACTTCATAATTTTTTTTAGTATCGTATTTATTATTTTTATCTTATCGTTGACTCCTTCCTTACATGACCCAGTAAGCTTCAGAATTCATTTTAAACTATATTTTTTTAATTTTTACTAAATAAAACTTTAACAAAAAGGTGTAAATCTATTTCATTTTATTAATTTTTACCTGTGTTCTGATCAATAGCAAACAATTTCAAGTCATTTCCAGCAACTATTGCGTACGTTACTTTGCCAAAATCTCCAGAGTCTGCATCCTGGGCAAAGACTGTCACCAAGTTGGTGTTGACGGCTGTGCTTTCGCTCTTGTTCTCTGCAATAAAAGCAATAAAATTACCACCAAAATAAATTCAAATATTTTACATAGAAATAACAGTTACACAACTAATCTATGCCGTTGTGATTCTTGCCTTGTATTTATTAATCAGAGGACAAAATGATTTTTAGCACTGTCATTAGATGGGTTTTCAGTTTCAGCAACTTGCAAAAAGTACTATGGACCGATATAATATCTAAAACTGGGCACCCATCCAACTCAATTCTATGTGAGCTGTAGACGACGCAAAGCCGTCTACTGATTATTGGTGGCCGTCTGAATAGGTCAACATTAAAAATGATGAGTTGTGCAAGTATCGTGGCATTGCGTTCTCCATAGAATCACTTTGACCAAAGACGGCAGTGAGTTTCATTAGACTAATGTTTCATAATGTCTTTTATCAATTGTAGTTGACTGACATTACAGTGTATAACCAACAAGATGTATAAGCCTACCGTAAATATGTTTATGTTTAATTGTAATTAAATAAATGAATATTGGCAACCCATTCAACAGGGATCTTGAGCCTCTTTTTTTCGCAAGCTTGTCTCATTCCTTTTACTTGTATATTTTATGATTTTTGACAATGAGACATATAAATGAAATTTAATTATAATGATGAAATTCGAATAAAATTCATAGGAAGTACAATGTGTCAGTTGTTGTAGTTGTCTCATACAAATGATGGGATTAATCCTTCTATCCATATTAAAAATGTAATAATCCTGCTCTGTCCATTTTGTGATTAACTATGCAAATGTGAGATGGCCATTTCTTAATACAATTTTTTAGCATTTCTTACCACTATAAAATTCTGGGTAGAAAACAGGTCTGTTATCGTTGACATCTATCAATGATATCTGCACCCTGGCAACGGAGCTCAGACCGCCGTCATCAGAAGCTTGCACAAGGAACTCATAAGCTCTTGGTAACACGTCATAGTCCAGAGTCATGGTGGTACAGATCTGGCCTGTGTCTGATTTAATGAAGAATTCTGGCGGTGGTGGAGCACCATAGTTGAGAGGGAGTGAATACTGAATGCGACCAAATCCATCAGCATCTGGATCTATTGCAACAACCTGTAAAAATAATTGCAAGAAAATCAACTTAATGAATCTGTCTTCATTTCCAAACATCATTATTCCACTTAATAAGTTTTCTTCTTTATTTTTTTTCTTTTTTGTAAGACTTAAGGGAATTGATTTTAGTCATGAGAAGGAAGTCATGGTGCCTAATTAAGAGAGGGCTGCTTTTCAACACATCACAACTGCTTGAAAGCACAAAATATTGCATACAACTAAGAGTGAACTACCTTGGCAATCAGAAACCTAAAAGGCCAAGTATTTGGACAAAAGTGATTTTCTAAACCAATGCAGGTGGAAGGAAAAAAATGATTTCAACAAAATACAACGCAGGTAGGATGATACTTAAAATAAAACATTACATTTATGAGGCCAAACTTCTGATATTTTAGATTCAGCTACTATTTAACGTAAAGTTTAGATAGCGTGAGAGCCAACAGTATACAGATATGGTGAAAAAGAATCTCTCATCTAATAAATATTACTTGCTAGGTACAAGAGGCTATAATAGACAGTGCCTATTAAGTAAAAAAACAAATACATAGGCACAGTAAGCCTTATTATACACATACACAACAAAACAATGCAGAGCTCAACTGTAGTGGGAATAACTCCCTCAATAGCAGATTTAAATTAGGCTTTTTATAAACTGTTGTTGGCACAACAGACGGATGTTAAGTAACTTTAATTCGATTTGAAAGGCTGAATAACATAAAGGCTGGCTAGTCCATGGAGATTATTATACCTCCATGGTGAGACCTACCTATGAATATCACACCAGAATGTTTTTAGTATATAACAACTCTTTGATATTACTTAGGGCAGGTGGGATAACACTATAGAAACAAACTCAAACTCGGGGTAAAATAAAAATGTCTACAATAAAGCTTTTAATATACATGTATGGCCTTATATCAGCAAATAGTCAGAAAGGCGCAAGTGAATTTATTGTTCATGGGATCAACTCACATAGTCATAGTACTGTACTTAGTTAACCAAGTAGGTTATGCTACACTATATAATACAATAGGCTGTACAACAATGATGATCATTATCAAATTCTCTCAACTGCCTGAAATATGTGGTGTCTATGTATGAAGCCCAAGACCTAACAAAAACCCAGACTGCTTATTTGGCCAGAAGTCATAAAAATGATTTGAAACAGTCTGGAACTCCAGACATCTTATATCAATGAGAATCATACATTTGTTATACACTGAGAAAATGTATCAATGACATAGAATATACTCAATCTTATCAGAATTACATTAAATTTAAAATAAAGCTATATATACAATATACACCATAAAAATGAGGAAGCCATAAATACAAGATCGAAACTGGGGATGAAAATTAATTATTTTAAAAATTCACTGATTCAAAAAAAATACTAAAGTTACAGCAGAGAAAAAACAAACCATAAGTCTAGCTATACAGGCTTTTCCCTTGTGCTCAATAAATCCATACTTATTAATATTAAAAGCAGCAGATATAAATTATCTGTCTAGCAAATGGAATTATTGTTATTATGATAACATTTTTATGATGATAAAATCACAGGAATATTTCAATTACAGCAACAAAGAAAAAAAATTGACAGGAAAATTTAAAAAAAAATACTATGATGAGATAAAAAACAAACAAAAAAATGAAACAGATATAAATTATTGTGAGTGGAATCATCAGTAACTATTGTTAATACGGAAATGATCTTTAGGTATGATAAGCCTCAGTAATATTTCAATTACGGCAATAAGGGTAAATAATAATAGTAATATTTCCAAGAGAATTCACCTGGAACTGATCATTATCAGACAGAAGATTAAACCCACAAATGGTTTTTAACCACGGTTTTTATATCTTAAACCCTCAATTATCATTCCTACACCTAAAGCTATCGGCAAACTTCTACAAGTAAATTTAGATGTAAAAAACATAATGAAGGAAAAATAATTTAGTGATACTAATCATCCCAATTTAAATCAGCTCTATCTAACTTTGACAAAACAACTTTGGGTTAATCCTCAACTAACAATTTTCTTTCTGCTTTTCTTGTACTTTTTGGTTGTCAATGACCTGTCATTTTAAAGCAAAGTTTAACCTATCTATTCTGATAGGTAATAAATGATTATATATATTCAAATACAATCCTATCTTATAGAAAATTCCTATAATCTTATATTATGTATGGATGGAAAACAATATGAAGAAAATAAGAATCTACATATGCTAACAGTGAAGAAAATTGTGAGTTTTAATTTAGATGTCACATCAGAAGCTTTGGCCTGAAAAAAAGACAACCAAAGGTCGTAGGATCATGCAGTGTTGAGATTGGTAATAGTGCCCCCCCCCCCTTTCCACTGACTGGAGGTCTAGCTACATTTGTTTCATTGTTATTCTGGCAAAGGAGAATTTTAATGGAGCATCTGTAAATGATTTTACATTTGATCCTCAGGTTTTTCCACAAATCGTACTTTAACTGACATCATATTGAAGTTTTTGTACTTATTTTCCCCTTGAAAACTGAAATGTTTCTATTACATATCATAACCAATGTTTAATGAAAAAAACGAAAATGTACAATTTTTTTTTTATATGCGAGAAGAATAATATTACCCGGTAGTTTTACTAAAGCCCTATTCATATTACTATCAAATTTTATGTGATAAAAAAATGTGATATGCCCATATTTGGGTGTAATATGACATCATCATGGCCACATCACACAAACTTGCCACATAATATATGATAGTGTGGGCAGAGCTTTTGAACAGAGTCAGACTACATTTTATTTGCTTTTCCCACTGCAGCAGAACTCCTACTTTTTCTGTCCACTTCAGTGGCCACCGGACAGGTCAAGAGCCCCCTATCGGACAGAGCTCATCGGGCAGTTGGACTAAAAAAAAGACAACCAAAGGTCGTAGGATCATGCAGTGTTGAGATTGGTAATAGTGCCCCCCCCCCCTTTCCACTGACTGGAGGTCTAGTGGCTTCAAATGTTCCAGTAGTGATCCACGTAAAAAAAAAGTACCATATATATTGAGCACTTTTTTCTTTTTAAATGGGAACACATGATTTTCTGCCAGGAGACTTCCAGAACTAGGAGTTGTGTCCTGTCAAATTGATGTTTAATATGCGTGACATTTTGAAGGAAAAATACTTTGTTTAATACAATTTTTTTCTCTTCATAATAATCATTGTTTATTGGCATGACTGAGTCAATGAAAAAACACTCAATACAAATACAATTTTTTTTTTTTATTAGAACCAGCACAATTTCGTCCAGATTTTTATTTTATTTTTTTTTCGCCGATTTCACGCTCAATATTATGATCTCTGCACAGGCTTAGCTGAATATTTTGTGTTGTTCCCTGATGGAACTACAGCATTTGAGATTACATTACATCTGATTGATGACATTAATGGAGTAGATATAATGTTGATATAACCTTTTTAAACATTAATACTTTTCACTGTATTTGACTAGCTTGATTTTTTTCTATTCTTTTAAAAATAAAAACCTCTCATGACATTTTATCTCAATCTCAGTTCTTTTAAAAATTTCAGCATTGGTGTTCTTATAAAACATGTGCTTATTAAAAACAAATAAAAGAAATATTACCCCCAAAATTGAGAATTTCAATAATTAGCAATATGGAAAACATTCTTCCATCCGTAACAAACTGGATTTTGCCTAAATATACATGTGTAATATTTATGAATGCTGATTGCAAAACCAATTTATCAACACGTGTGCATGTTTGCGCAAGTATAAATTTTTTAGAAACACAAACATTGGATTGTTTGGTAGCTTATAAACTCATTGTTTTCACATGATTTTTTGGTATTTTAAGAATGCAAAAAATCTGCAAACCAAATTCAAGTACTCTGCAACCACCTAGAAATTAAAATCAATTACTAATTAAATACTCATGTTCTTCAATGCAATTTTTATCATTTCAGGAAAAAAACCAAGCCCATGTTCTACTGTAATTCATGACAAAACTCTCCTAGGCATAAACAACCTGGATCTAAATCGGGTAAACTTTATCCCTAAACTAGTATGGTGAACAAGTGAACAACAAGCTAAACAACGCTTGCAGCACAAATGATCACTGACCTCACTACAATAGTATATTTCTGCTACATTTGTTTCATTGTTATTCTGGCAAAGGAGAATTTTAATGGAGCATCTGTAAATGATTTTACATTTAATCCTCAGGTTTTTCCACAAATTGTACTTTAACTGACATCATATTGAAGTTTTTGTACTTATTTTCTACTTGAAAACTGAAATGTTTCTATTACATATCATAACCAATGTTTAATGAAAAAAATGAAAATGTACAGTTTTTTTTTTTATATGCGAGAAGAATACTATTACCCGGTAGTTTTACTAAAGCCCTATTCATATTACTATCAAATTTTATGTGATAAAAAAATGTGATATGCCCATATTTGGGGTGTAACATGACATCATCTTGACTAGCTTGATTTTTTTCTATTCTTTTAAAAATAAAAACCTCTCATGACATTTTATCTCAATCTCAGTTCTTTTAAAAATTTCAGCATTGGTGTTCTTATAAAACATGTGCTTATTAAAAACAAATAAAAGAAATATTACCCCCAAAATTGAGAATTTCAATAATTAGCAATATGGAAAACATTCTTCCATCCGTAACAAACTGGATTTTGCCTAAATATACATGTGTAATATTTATGAATGCTGATTGCAAAACCAATTTATCAACACGTGTGCATGTTTGCACAAGTATAAATTTTTTAGAAACACAAACATTGGATTGTTTGGTAGCTTATAAACTCATTGTTTTCACATGATTTTTTGGTATTTTAAGAATGCAAAAAATCTGCAAACCAAATTCAAGTACTCTGCAACCACCTAGAAATTAAAATCAATTACTAATTAAATACTAATGTTCTTCAATACAATTTTTATCATTTCAGGAAAAAAACCAAGCCCATGTTTTACTGTAATTCATGACAAAACTCTCCTAGGCATAAACAACCTGGATCTAAATCGGGTAAACTTTATCCCTAAACTAGTATGGTGA